TAATACATGGAATCCATCTCCGTGTAATTTAATTCTCAATATAAATCTGCTGTTCTGTGAAGGATTCAGATGTTTCCTTGCAGAACATTATTAAGAGCAACGAACAGTGGCAGAGTCTGTTCACTTTACACATCCTACTGACCCATCCATCTAATTAGGAATGCTTGGAAAAAAAGCAAACATTGAAGCAAATGTTTATCATATGTATCAATGCTAAGCAGAAACTATCTAACTTGAGAGGGATGCATTTGTCACTAAATGAGTCTTGGGACCAACAGCGCCGCTTTATGGAAGTTTGAGCTCCTCTGAAAGACAAGATCTAACAATATTCATATGAAACATATTTTATCAGTCATATTTCTGGTTCTCTGATTTAGGATTTACTCCAGAGAGCTAAATGTGGCATTGAATTTACAATGAATGATTGAAACCTACTGGACTTCTCAGTCAGCTGGTTCAAATCAGTTTGCTCAAATTCCAGAGCATGGGGTGGGTTCTGTTCAATATTACGACAGTGCCGTGTCACCTGTCTGTTTCAGGTCAGGCGCCACTTGGTGGCTAAAAGTTATTCATAGTTGCTTTAAAGCTTGACCAAAGCCATGTAAACGTTTTGGTCTACAGTACATGCAAAATTCTAATACTCAACCCACCCCTAAACACCACTTCCCCATGAGGAAGCATGGTGGTGGCAGCTACTGTACATGCAGAAGGAATGCAGTTTCAAAAGTGGTTAAATAAAGCCAGCCAAAAGTCAAGTGAAGATTGATGGAGGGGAAAATGCGTGATTAGAACGGTTTTATTGACATGAAAGACACAATGCTCGGGCCGATTTTGAAAAGAAACTCCGAGAACAAATGTCGGTTTTCCGATGTCCAAAGGAAAACTCATGTTTTCGTTTTACCACTTAGTAGGAAGGGGTTTCTACTCAGTATTAACTCAGGGATGTGCAATACAGATGCATGCCAGTTTTTAGAAAAAAAATTCTTTAAAAAAAATTGAGATCTTTAAATGTTTTTTTCTCTATTTGCAATGATGCAACATTTTAAAATGTATATAAAACACAGATGAGTTTGTGATTGCAATTTTGCAAAATGTGTAACAGTTTGATGGGTATGAATGATTTTTCAGTGATTAAAGAAGAAAAAAAAGATCAGTAAAAGGGAAAACTGTGGGAAATTAAGGGTTTAAAAGAGCACACTAACAAAAACATTTTACCCAAATTTTAAGATTGATGTCATTTTATTATATAACAAATTCACATATGCTTAAGATAATTTTAACACAAATCTAATAAATAAACCTTACATAATTCATATTAATTTGTATAATAAAGCTTATTTATTTAAAATGCATAAGTTTGAGGTTTATGTATTTTAAATTCTAAAATATACTCACTCAAAATGAATACTAAAGTATTTATTTGAAAGATTATTCAGGGTTCCCTTTATGCATATCCTTACAATTTCCAATAAAATAAGCTTTATATATTTGAGTTAAATACACAAATTAGTATTAACTTTAAGAAAGTATCCTTTATTTATACAAAATACATTAATCTGATCATTATGTATTTTAAATGAATGATATTTAGCATCTAGCGACTAGGGTGTCTATCACTGAAAACTCTGTAAAAAGAAAACGCTGGTTAGTGACCACGATAATCCGACAGAGAACGATTACGGACGCATGAGTCACTAACCTGGTTTAACAGTTCAGCCCGTGTCCTGAGAACGAGGTAGAATCCAGTCTGGTGGCTGCCAACAGATCAGATCAGAACAGGAAGGCTCAGAACTCCAGGAGTCCAAAGACATTTCAGGAAAACATTTCAATGGGAATTGGCAGGCACAGAGGTTGAGAGGCAGAACAGGTCAGGATCAGGAAATCAGAAACACTCAGGTTCGCTAAAAAAAACTTTCACCAATCAAATGAGACGGGAACAGGCCGGCACAGTGGCTGGGAGGCAGAACAGTTCAGGACGCTAAAAAAAACCCTCTCACCACTGGTATGAGAGAACGAGCATAATCTGGCTCTGATAACTGGATGCAAACACCTTAAATAGAGGCAGGAGCAGGTTGATCATATAGCAGTAATTAGAAACTGGGCAGAGTTAGATAGGTGAATGGAATGAAAAATTAAGTCAGTCATCAGTGCCAAGATCATGACAGTAAATGGGAATTAGTTATTTAACAAAATTACATATATTTTAAAATTTGGGTGAAATATTTTTGTGAGATAATTATGGTGTAAGGTGTGATTCAGTGAATAATGTGTGTTTAACCCACCAGATGCCTACCTGCTCATAAATGAAACGGCATCATGTCTTTCAGTTCAACTAAACCAGTACAGAGAAAATATTTTCTGGTCTCTTACCTCTAGAGTTGTCCTGTTCTCAGAGCGATGACCAACCAATGACCTTTAAACAGGTCAAAAAACAACAAGAGAACTCTAAAATGCTAATGGCTAGGCCTTAGGACCTGTTTATAAAAACCAGGATTGTTTTTATAAACTTTGAAGCTCCATCATAGTCTTTTAATACCAACAAACCCTCAGCTGGATGATGTTCTTGGGTAAAGGGTGAGGTATCTACACATGAGTTTGTTAATCAGTCCTAACTTCAGTGTAAGGTCTCCATATATGTTTGTATCTAATGTCTGCAGGTATGAATATTTGTGTGTTTGTGAGTGAGTCTAAAGTGTCGCCAGGTATGTATGTCTTGGTGAGTATGTAGGGCGTTGTGCATGTTCGTCTGTGTCCCTGTATTATCTTTTATTTTCCTGTCTGCATCACTCTTGTCGTCTTTTCATTTCTGGTTTTCCTCGTTGTCTGAGTGTGAGACACTTTCTGATTGTTGTGTTTTCTACATTTGACACGCTGCCTTTCCCTCCCCCCTCTAGTGTTGAGTATCGGCGAGGGTGGGTACTGGGAGGGGACGGTCCGAGGTCGCACTGGGTGGTTCCCATCTGACTGCGTTGAGGAAGTGGTGCTTCGAAGCCAGGATAACCGATCAGGTGATCACCACTAATCATACAAACACCCTCATAGAAGTAACCTCAAGCAATTGGTCCAACTTTTGTATTTGTTTTACTCCCTGCTTTTATAACAATTTTATCTTTACCTCATTTTATTCTACTTTTATTGTCTTATTTTACTGTTTAACTTGTGAAAAGCACTTTTTATTTTCTCTATACTAAACTGGAAAAATGTTGAACGTAACCCCAGTTTTCTCCCCTTAGCTCCACTTGTGGTATTAAGTAGAACCAAATAGAAAAACAACTGAATGGACCACACATGTAAAGTTAAATCCATCTAAACCATCGAGAGTAGAACAGGAATGCCTAACTACACCTCTAAATGCTCACATGGCTGCTACAGCCATGTAAAAACCTTCATAGCAATTTACATTTACCGGTACATCAATTTTAATTTTGAGACTAAAAATAGTCTTGATATAAGCATATAAGACAGATATAGGGAAATATATTAGCTGCTTTCATTGAAAAAAAAAACAGTTTACTTACCCTGCATTTTGAATTTGTCCACGTGGTATGGATCCATACCAATAAAATCTTCTCTTTCTATCATTTTAAGGGCACAACATCTATCATGTCATGTATAGAGCTCCAGAACTTGACTAAGACAAAAGTCATAAAAAACTCACATAATAAAAACAAATAAAAGCTTCTAAAATGCTGCTTATAATGCTGAATTTTCCAGAGACCCTTACTTCTGATTCAGTCCTATGGGAACTATCAATAAAAATGAAAGTTAAAAAAGGCTATTTTCAAATTTATGAAATAAACTTAAATCCAGACTTAATGGTTATTGTATGAGAATAAGCAAAATACAGAAATGTGGCAAAACAGCGTTCTTAACAAATGAAGCAAAACGGATAACCTACAGGGGAATTACGGGGGATAAGAGCACAACCAGAGTAATAGTGAAACAGGAGAATCTAGTAAGATATATTACTATCTGTCCACACAAAAAACATTTTTAAATTTTATATAGAAAATTTAAAATACTACTAAAAACACTGTAGGTATGCCAGGACTATTGGTTGGGCTCTGACACTGCCAATAAAACATAGGAAAAAAATGGTAGGCGATCACAGAAAACAGATGTGAAGTGAACACAGCAACATTTTGACAGATCAGACATTTTTGCATAATTAATACTGGCCTGTATGTGGGCTGATAGGGGACTCGCCCTGTTGGGAGCGGGCTTCTGTGGAATCAAAGCCTAAATAACAAAATACCTTTGCTGATACATCTTATCTCATTGCCTTGTGGACTGACAAAAAAACAAAAACAAAAGGATAATCTATTTATATGTTGACATCTTAGAAACAGTAAAAAACTAAGAAATGAACCATATGTCTAGATATGTCAACAGGAAAATGGACAAAGCAGAAATTAAAAGAAAACCAAAGGGAGAGCTGCTCATGCTAGATCTTCTTTAATTCTCAAAGAGCAAAAAAAGAATAATCTGATCCTAAAATAAAACAACTAAACAAATGGTTTCAGTCCGTACTAATTTTTTCCAAATAAGTTATGAAATAAGCATGCAACATATTTAGTGCAAATACAGATTTTATCAAAAATAAAACCTGCCCAAAAGTGGCGATAATTAGAAGCTTCTATGTACTTTTCTGGCTTTACATAAAAGCTTTTTTATTAACAGCTTTTATTAAATTAAATATAAAGATTCAAACTTTATAATTGTAGAGCAATAAAACAGTTGTTGGTAAACAAAATTAAATCAGTTTAACTGATAATGTGAGAATAAGCAGGAGGGAGAGGAAACGATTCCTGCAGAATATGTGCAAAAAATTGGGGCATTTGCTTTGCTTCTTGATCACTGAACCTGCAGATCATACAATGTTTTAGAATGACTCCTTGTGGTTATTGTGTCACCGAAGTCCTTTAATGTTCCAGAGAGTCGTGGAGAACGAGCCAAAAGGTTGTTCCGCCATTACACAGTGGGATCATACGACAGTTTTGAAGCTCCAAGGTAGGAACAGAAAGCTGGATGTCTTTCTTACATCTGTGAAAAAAGAAAAAAAATAACCTCAGGACAAATTGTGAAATGCATCAGTCCAGAGTATTTTCACAGGTTATTTGAAAAGTAACAATGTAAAGATTTTTTTGATGGTTTTTTTCCTCTTCCAACAATGAATACAAGGCCCAGATTCATTCACTTTGATGTTTTCTAACTGAAATCAACTGATTTTACTCATCACATTTAATTTATTAGATGTTTACTCAGGGTCTGGTCTGGTTTAAATGACTGGATTGTTGGTTTTTTTTTTTGCCATACACATATTTAACAACAAAATATTTAATATAATAAAGCCTTTCTACCATTTATTGTCTAGAAACTTGGATGAAGCAATGGTAATAATAATATAATAATTATAATAATTATAATTTTCTGCCTCTTCAACCCTTATTTTTGGGTCCATTTACTACTGTAGCGTTATGGCTTTTGCTTATTATGCCCCCTTAGTTTAATGTGAAGGAATTTATTTTGTGTTGTCAACATGGCAAATCACTGAGGCCAGAGTAAGGTACACAGAAACACTATAAGTATCGATCACATGTATTATTCACACTTTCTCTCACCTGTGGTTTCAATCAGCCTCTCTAAACTCTGATGCCCAAACTCACATATATTATTAATATGCTTCATCAACAGTGTCATTTCATTCACAAAACCCACTCCATTATGCAAATCCCTGTTTGTTTGTACACACATGACCACATACATCATTTATAAATAGAGCAGCATTCCAGCAGTGATGGGAATCTTTTGGACATAGATGCACCAGAGGCTGACTCACATCTGCCCTCAGATGGGCCTACTTTTATCGTTTCACCTGTTCCTCCTTTCATGTTTGGCTGCATCTCCTGATAGTTTTCTGCTTCCCGCCCTCGCCTTCTATTCATCGCTCTACTGCGATCCCCCCCTTGCACTTTTTAATTTTCTTTCTATCACCCTCACCTCCCTGCGGTGTCTCCATCTGGAGGTCAGACAGTGAAGGGCACTCGAGGGGGAGGCGGGAGAGAAGGAAAGGAAGAAGAAAATGCATCCTGCGTTTTTGGAGATGGTGATTATAATCAGGATTCTGAGATGGTCTAGACTTTCTGTTGAGGTTAGAGACACTGTTTGACATGTGAAGGAAGGTTCTAAACCACTGTTAGTCAATCTGAGCAGGTTCTGAGGATGCTTTGTATATTTCCAGGAGCTCCTTTGGTCAAACTGAGCCTCCAAGCTGTTACAGGGTTTAAATGGAGTCCATCCATCCATCCATCCATCCATCCATCCATCCATCCATCCATCCATCCATCCATCCATCCATCCATCCATCCTTCCTTCCTTCCTTCCTTCCTTCCTTCCTTCCTTCCTTCCTTCCTTCCTTCCTTCCTTCCTTCCTTCCTTCCTTCCTTCCTTCCTTCCTTCCTTCCTTCCTTCCTTCCTTCCTTCCTTCCTTCCTTCCTTCCTTCCTTCCTTCCTTCCTGTATTTAAAGCCCTATTACTGTAGAAATATTTGCTTTAAGTTTTTAGTGTTTTTGTATTTTTGCTTAGAAATAAGGCTTGCCTGCATATTTGGTTTTGGTTTGGTAAAAAAAAAAACACTAGAACTCTAAAAGTTACTAAATCAATTGAAAAACATCTCTGAAATGTATCAGACCTCCCATTATTGTGTATTTCACTATCAATATTTTAGAAAACGCATATTACTTATTATAAAATGCACCTCTGGAACTCCCTCCCTCCTGATCTCCGTACTCTGGACTCCTTCCCTCTTTTCAAATCTAGACTCAAAACTTTCCTGTTCAGACAGTCTTATCCCATCTAGTCCATATGCATCACTCCAATGTTGTTTTCTTCCTTTTCTTCCTTTGGCTTTATTTTACTTCCTGCTGTTTTGTTTTCTGTGGCACCTTTATGCTTGTACTTTATGCTTGTATTTTTTACTTTTTAGCTTCCTGTTTTTAATGTTTTATCTGCCTGTACAGTGTCCTTGGGTGTTTTGATAAGGCACTTTCAAATAAAATGTATTATTATTATTATTCCTTTGATGTTTAACAATATTTCTTTTGCAAACTTTCTTAGTAAAATCAGTAACATAGAAATGTTTTTCTCTTTTTTCTGTCTAAATGCATGCCCTGGTTCTGTTTCAATGGATTCATTAAGAACATCCTGTGCGAACAGTCAGCCAAACACAAGCCAGTGATCATGTGGACCTTCTGTCAACATTTGCTCCACCCAGCCCATTTTTCTCAGTGCATGCGCTCACAGTCACAGTGGCTTAGCCTGACAAGCAGGGAGGGAAGCAAAAAAGGAGAGACATGAGAAGAGAGAGGACGAGGGCTGTGACTGAAGGCAGGAGGGAATCCAGAGGATGACAAAATTTGGAGAAAATGCAGAGAGGCGAGGAAGAGGAAGGGGAGGGCAAGTTGATGAAGGACGGTTTAAACATACGTGGAAGGAAGCTCAGATGGAGAGATGATGTGAGTGCCTTTCGGAGAGGATCTGTATGCCTCTCTCGCTCTTTCTCCTTCTTCTCCTCGTCCGCCTCCAGCCACTTGTCTCCCAGCTGTTTCTCTGTCTTCTCCCCTCTTCTTCTCTGCATCCAACCCCCCTGCATTTACCTCTCATTCAAGCTTTGTTTACAGCAACTGGGATTGGCGCATGTGTTTTTTGAGTGCACAAACAGGACCATCTAAAAAAGGCATAAGGCAGGGGATTACAAACCTAGAACTGAGCTATCAGGCAACCAGCCTTGAAGTAAAACTTTGTTAACCTCTTACACCCTAAGGGGGTATAAATAAATTTCTGCCTGACAAAAACACACAAAAGTAAATAGCTTATAGCCTCAAAGCTATTAGATTTAAGAAGAAACTTTTGGTACCTCTGTAAAGGTAAGATGTCATAGAATGGTTTTCTGGTGTCAGCACCATTGTAGCTTTGACCCTGCCTGAAATATTAGGGACAAAATACAAAATATTTTGTATTTTTTGAACCTCGCCAAAATTTTCTTTGAAATAAACATTGCAAAACACTACCAAAATATTATTTATAGCACAAAAAAGTAGTACAGACTTTTAAATCTAAATGTTGTGTAAAAATATACCAAATTTGGACTCAATCAGATGAATCATATTTATTTTAGAATGGTATTAGTGAGAAATTTCTTAGGCGGAGAGGCCATTTTGGCACATTTATCCATAAATGTCACCAAACTGTGCCAAATATGTTTTTTACATCAATACTGGGGGTTTGGTAAAATTACGAGGTCATGTAGCAGCTGGACCCGCCGGTGGGTCCGTAGGGTTCAAGGGGTTAAAGAACCTCTGGATTTAGTTTCAGTATCTTTGGTCTGAGTCTAACAGCAAGCCGCATCCTGATCTGACTTGTTATCTTGCATAAGTTCTCCAAATGTCTGGGATTGTCTCCAAATGTCCTCTCTTGTCCATAGCCTCAGATTTAAGCAGCCCCTGTCTCTGGGGATGTTTTCTTCTTCTTCTTCTTCTCTTGTTTTTGCTTTATGGTTGGAGACATTGTGATGCTGGGAAATGAAATCTCACTTCATCTTCTGAACTGTTGATATCTTAATCCACTTTGACATAATAATGTTTTGCATCTGAAGAAAAGGCAATCCCACAGCATGATACTGCCACCACCACATTTCAGCGGGTCAAACAACTAAAACATACTTTTTGCTTTTACTCAATCATAACACACAGGACTCCAAGGTTTCTGCCAAATGTAGACGATTTATCTTTTAGTGTTTTTGTTTTTTAATCATGCAGACTACTATAGAAATATGGAGGAAAGAGGAACTTTTTAAATGCATATAGACCAACTGTTGCCTTTATGTCATTAATTCCTGCTGCATCTTCGATCATGCTGTCAGCATCTTAGCTTCCCAGGCTGTCCTTTCAATAACTTTGAAAAAAAACAACAAAGATTCATCTTTCGAAGTGATCTTTTGTATAATTCATAGCAACTGTAAACAAAAGAAGATGAAAAGCTGAAATTAAATCAAAGCATTTTTTGATGTAAATCATAATCGGTACATGTTAGACAAATGGAAAACAAATAATAAAGACAATGTAGAATAGATTAATCAAATTAATTTATGGAGGAAAGAACTAATTTATAGATTTAATTCCAATTTTTTCTGTGACATTTGAATAGAATTGCTATAAATTAGTGATAAAAATTAAAAATATATCAGCATGTTTTTGAAAGTCTTGTTGATGTTAAAAATAAGCAATTGAATATGTAAATATTTTCATTATTGATAAAAGTATATCTATTTTTATAATGAATAAAAAAATATATATTTTAATTATTTCTGGCCTGACCCAAATTTAATAAAATTAATTTTCAAATATTTTATTTAATAATTTTTTGGAAAGTAAAACTATTAAAATTATTATAAATGAATATATTTTTTGTGTCCATTTCCTGTTGTTTCAATTTTTTTTATTTTCCAATATCATAATAATTATTTGATCATTTTATAGCCTTGTGAGTAAAATCAACTAACAGTTTTTAGCCTAATAAGCAGCCCTGATTTGCTCTTGATCCCTCAGCAATCTGTTCAAGTTTCAGCAGCCTGGAAAACAGCAGCTGATTTTGCTGCCGATCGTTGCTTGGTTCAATAAAGCAAACACAGTATTAGCCTGGACCAGCTTCTTTTACAGAAATGTTATTCTCCTTGTTGATTTATTAGTTTATGTCCTACCAGAAAGGATTAAATAAGTAGGAACAGGACTACTATCCACAGAGAGTTGGCGGTGATTGTTGGATATTCAATCTGAGTTTTCCTCCACTTAAACTATTAATATTTATTGAATGCAAAAGTATTTTGATAACTTCAAATGTATTTCAACAGCTTCAATCTTAAGTTTTTATTTATAGGGATTTAATCTAACTGACCCACAAAAACAGCCACTTGAAATAGAAGAAAAATTGCACGTTATTCAAAATGTTTACAAATCAAATTTGGAAAAATGTGGTACATATTTAGATTGTGAAAAATAACTCAAAGACCTGAGAATGAGAGCATTAATCAGAGTGTCAGCCCCCAGGACCACGCTTACTTTGAAGAAATCAGCCAATCATCTCAGAAAATCAAGAAGCAGCTATGATGAAAATATGATGGACCGTTAAGGATTGAGCTGTTGAACCTTGCTGAGCCTTTAGCTGAAAGCTAACTCATATCGGTGGCAGCATCATGCTGTGGGATGGCTCCTTCGTAGCAGGACAGCTATTCAGATGCTCGATGATAATGGAGCTAAACTTGGGGCAGTCTTGGAGGAAGACCAGTTTAAAAACTCGAGGCTCGAGTAAATTTGTTCCTTTTAGCTGCAATAAAGACCCAAAACATTCAACCAGGGCTAAAATGGGATGGCTCCAAGTTTGTTTGTTTTTAAAGGGGTTGGTGAAGAAATGTCAGTGTCTAGATGTGTTAAGCATCTACAGAGCTAGGCTCTAGAGCAGGGGTCGGTAACCCAAACTGCTCAAAGAGCCATATTGGACCAAAAAAATAAAATAAAAATAAATCTGTCTGGAGCAGCAAAAATGTAAAAGTCTTATATAAGCCTTGTATGGCAACACAGGCTCTAAGTGTATTAGCCCACTATAGAAAAGGACTATGTGGGCTTACATATATAATAAGCATTCATGATTAAATGTTTATCCTGGAGCAAATGTCACATAGCAGCATGAGGTGAGGAAGGAGCAGTGAACGCCCTCACCATGCACCACTTCACTGCCCTTCACCGCGTGGTTCAGGTTTAGTTGCATTGCTAAAATTATAGAAACACGAGGAAACACACAATGAATCTTTCTTTGGTAGACGTGTTTCTGTTGGGAGGAGCTGATTGAGTCATAAGGAACCAAGCAGGAACTGACATCCACCAGAGCAGAGCTCTCTAACCCTGAAATCCCACATCCTCCATCACCTGCTTCAGAGCGCCAACTTTTGGATCTGTGAATGGTTTTCCATCCTTGCAACCAAACTAGCAGCAGTAGTGGAGTTTGGAGATGCAATCCACTTCTTAAATCTATCTTTGCGCTCCTCTAATTTATCCAGAGGTTCTGCAATCACACTTTTTCTCTCCCCCCAGCTTGGTGGTCGGCTGTATATTGAGCCTTCCCTGGAAATGCCCTTCCAAATAATTTTTATATTTTTGGAAAAACTCTCATTACAAAGCAAAAATGCAGGTAATCCTTCAACATTGATAATGAAAGCAAATGATTCGATCCATTCTTTGAATCCTCTTTTCTCATCAGCTATCTTCACTTTTTTTCCATTTTGGATCCATGGTCCGAGACACACCTGCAGCTTTGTTTGCCTGGCACCGCGCCACGCTGGTTCCAAGTTATAACCACTGATGTCTATGGCTATGACGCAAATTATTGTTTACATTTATTTATTATACAAATGTTTACAGCTTTGGAAAACATAATTAATTTTAGTTTGACCTCCTGCACATAATTAAAACAAACATAAAAAATCGATTTTCATAAATTTTTTAAAAAGCTCCAGGGAGCCGCAAGGGGGGCGCTAAAGAGCCACATGCGGCTCCGTAGCTGCAGGTTGCCGACTCCCACTCTAGAGAAAGCACTGAATAAATGGAACCAATATCAAGACCAGATATTTGTTTAAGATAAAGGCTCTTGTCTTGTCAGTCAATAAAAGCTCAAGAAAACATATTGATATTTTGGATTTCATGTAAACTCAATGGGAAAATGTTTAAAGATTATTGCTAGGAACCATGTCAAAAGAAACGGATAGAAATTAAACTTTATTGATCTCACAATGGAGAAATTCACTGTCTGCCACTGCGGGAGCAGTGTGGGGTTCAGGGTCTAGCTCGGACCCAGAGTTGAGGTTGTGGGGATTGAACCGGGTACTTGCAACCTTCTCAGAGCACAAGCGCACTGCTCTAACCACTAGGCCAACACTCCCCCAAATGTTTACTAGAAACACAGCATTTGGCAAGAGTTAGCACTGTCGTTACACGATCCAAACCAGACGAACCATCAGTACCACCAGCTCATTTGTGCATGCTCAACTGGATATACATCCGGGTTTCTATAAATAATTTCTTTTTCAGGCATGTTCTCCCTGAATACGCTCCAGGTACTCAGACTTCCTCTCAAAGTCCAAAAACATGACTGTTAGGTTAATTGGCTTCTCTAAATTCTCCTTAAGTTTGAGTGTGTGTGTGAATGGTTGTTTATCTCTGTGTTGCCCTCGATGGACTGGCGACCTGTCCAGGGTGGTGGACCCTGCCTCTCGCCCGTAGACAGTTGGAGATAGACACCAGCACCTTTTGTGACCCCGCTTTGGATAAGTGTGACGGAAAATGGATAGATAGACTTTTTTGAGACAATTTTGATGCTTTTTACATTTTCTCGGTTAAACTGCTTGTCTGACGTCATCATCGGACATGCTAAGAGTAGTCCGGCAAAATTTGATTAAACCACGTTTATCTGCATTTAAGTTGTTTCTTTCTTTAGGTTATTCACTATATACCATAAGGCTAACAGGAAAGGAAAAAAATAAAACTCAAAAAGACGACTTAATTTTAA